TCATTGGCTCCTACCCCAGAACCAACACCAGTGCCACTTGAGCCAAACATATTCTTGCAATAATTCCAAGCAAGAACAAAGCGAAGCAAAGCAAAGTCGAACGGGGAGGTATTCACTAAAGGTTTGGCAGTAGGAGTGTCCGGCCCGAACCTTCAAACCCTTACCCTATTTCAGACCAGAAATGGGTTCCATTTCCATAAACATTGAAAAGGGCTACAAAATTGCCATATTGACGCAAAAAAAAAACCCACCAGTTTCTTGTAAACAAAATACCCAATGCTAAGCCAAAGTGAAAAAGATAAACTGTTTCGTACCTAAATTGCCAAAATCTATGCCCAAATTTTCGACCAAAACATATCCCAAACACCATTCCCTTTGGGGCCGCACGTACCGATATAGCCCTTACAGGTGAGTAAATAGCTCATCTGTCACACTTTTCCAGCGTACTTCATTGTCTGTGAATTATCCATTATGACAGAATTACCTGAAAAAACTAAGTTATTAGGCAATCCGTAATTGTATTACTTGAGAAACAACCGATTTCTGTGAAGTTTTTTTCTTAGAGGACGAATTTTGGAAGAAAATCAACATTTTGGAAGAGATCAACAAACAAGGAATTGAGAGGACATACTAAAGGCAATGCGCGAGTGGAATTTTTCATGTTTATTTAATATGATTATTTAATAATTTACGATAAAGAAAACAAAAACTTTACTACATGGTTCAAGAGCGCTTTACAAATATGTCAATATACTAAAAACAATATTTGAGATGATAAGGCCATTTTTCAAAATGCAAACAGGATATTCTACAGCTGTAATCCGTGATAAATTACAGCACATGCCGACAGGTTTTGCTAATTCAACCCTCTTGTGCTGCCTCAGAGCGAGTTATTTTCATTACTATAAAGCTCAATTCGTTTATAAATAACCAAGCCAGAGCAATAGAGTATTACATTGAGGCGTGGCTCATGCTAAATTAGTGTAACAAGCGTTAAGGGTAATTATTACATTTTTTTGCGAGCATAATGTGAGCATAATGGAGCAAAACGAGGCCTTTCGAGCATAATAGTGAGATTTTTTGTTCATTAGATTGAGCATTAACACAGTAGAGAAAACCTTAAATATAATGTGCAAAACCCTAAGTGGGAATCAGCAAGATATTTAATACTAGGTTTCTGCTAAACTAATTCTTTTCAGCCGGTTTTGAGACAAAAGCCCGGCGAAACTGTCTTAAGGTTTTCTTTACTGCTTGTCGAACTTCTTTGATCTTCCAGCAATAAAGAATAGGATTCAGTGAGGAATTGAGGTAAACGAAATTTACCGCCATAGACTCGGCCAGAAAAAGAGACGGGCTTAATCCTTTTGTAGCTGCTAAAGTCATTACTACAGCGAAAGGAAGATAACATATTGCCAGTGTGAGGTGAACCCACAATGCATTGAAAACTGTCCTTTTATATCGCGCCATTTTTGGCGAAATACTTCCACTCTGACCTCCAAGAGTATCTTGTACTTGTGTTTGTTGACGTCGGATAGTGCGAAAGATTCTTGCGTAAGAATAAGTAGAAATGATAACCTGTAACATTACTAATACAGCACTTGTGATGAAGTAGGCAGTCATATCCCAAACATAGAGAATACCGACAGCGCTGCTTTTTAACCAGAAGAGGATGATGATCGTACGAACGCGCTTTGCAGTGACAACTTGTCTATATCGTAACCGCAATAACAGAGCGAGTAGTCTGTCCACACTTATAGCGGTCAGTGTCGCTAAAGATACGCCAGAAGAAATCGTGGTTGTAACATACGCCAAGTATTTAGCCACTCGACAAAGTTTCCAGTTTTCGTTTATAGCGGATAATAATAAGGTGATAGCTGTCGGCTGCCCGATCACACCAACACAAAGATCGGTGACCGTCAGACAACGAAGCAATAGTTTTGATGGCGGGTGGAGAGACTTGTCCTTGTGAAGGGCAAACAAGATCAAACTGTTCCCAAGAGTAGCTGTTATGGTTAGAATAACACAGAAAAACACAGTCAATGTGTAAAAGTGAAGCAGATAACTTTCGCCATCCCAATGTCGACTGCAAAAGAGCATTCGGGTTGTTTCAATGTTGACGTTCGACATTATTTACAATATTTGAGACAGTTCTTGCTGTGAAGGTGTACGTGTGTTGGCTTCAAAATATGAATCTTTATTCCTCATTCGCCCAAGTTATTTTGCTTTGGAATAAGAGATGTCAAAAATCGCCCTAATTAAAAAACAAATTCTTTCAGTGTCCGCGTTGGGCTAAGGTGTTGTGTATAGTTTACACTTTAACAAAGCGATGCCATGATATTTTCTAATTGTTTCTGCCTCTATGCGCTTATCTTATTTAATCAGGTCAAAACCTCTCGAGGTTGGAGGTCAGTGTATTCTTTTAGACGGGAAACGTTACTTTTACTGATGTTACCTTCATAAATATTCAATAATAAGTTAGATCATGTGGATCTGATGTGCAGAAATCATCTAAAGTGTAGAAACTTGTGTCATTTATATTAACAAAATACTATCCTCTAATGTAAACACACTGGCGAACTATTTGTAAGCAAATCAAACTGACAATTAAAGTAATAATTACTGTCGACTGAAAGGCGCACTTTTACCTCAAAAAATTATTTGAGGGAATCGATTTATAATTTTTGTACTGGCTTTTTAGGTGTCAGATTAAATATTTAAAGCTCAATTTTTCCGTCTCGGTCTTTCTCAATCAATATCCCAACCCCGTAAATGAAAGATAGGTGTTATCTGAATTTAATTCCGAGAATTGAAACATCATTAATTCGAAACAATAAGCATGCAGCTGTATGTGCTTAATCCCTTACCAGCGAATTTAAACTGATAAGAACTCGCCTTTGTTATCGTATGGTATTAAATCCTTCTTGTTATATATATGTATTACCATATCAATGAATGTTTGGAGCGCAGACCATTATATTATTGTGATTAATTATGGAAAAGGAAAAACCGAAGCAGAACAACCACACACGATGAAAGCAGCAGGAAATGTAATCTGGCTATGAAGTGACGAACTAGAGGTTGTTCTTCTTTAGTCATCATGCTTAGGACACTCGTATTAGTTAACGGGCGAAGGCGATCAGAACTAATTGTTTGTCACTTTTCAAAATGCTCAGTTTGCGAGAAATTAAAGAGGAATATGATGCTTTGTTATAAAAGCACTAATTTTAAGTTTATAATATCAGGCAGATGGATTGTGAACCGAATTCAGAGAGAAATAAACTAAAGGAAATGGCAAATTCAGTGCTCATTTGTAGGACGTCTTATCTCTTTCATTCAGTTCAATATGTTTTTCAATACGTTTTTTTTATTAGAGGGCGAGTTCAGCCTCGTTGGTCCGTTTTAATCAGTTCTCGACGTGGTTCCATCAGCTGAAACCACATTTCAATTATTTGATCGTGATTTGGTTTTCGTGCATATTTTTCAATCCACTGATCCCCATAGTTGAATGTCAATAATGAAGGACGAGTTTCGAGAGACAGTTATGGTGAAAACGCCATGGTGACGTCTATACCATTTTACAGCGAGATCAGCAACAGATTCAACGCCAGGCCAATATATATAGTGTCCAGAATTCATGGGCTGCACGCTGTAGAGAGTTGAATTTGAAAAGAAACATTTACAAATTCAGATTATGGATACTTGCGTAAGGGTTTCATTTTTAAATTATTTACTTCCATCCTTTCAAGTTCAGGTATGGAATTCTCAAAACTCCCGAAAACTGTATGGGCTCGAAAATAAACCGAGAACTTCCAGAAAACGTTTTATTACGACTCTCTAAACTTTCGGACTCGATAATTTACTTTATTTTCCACCGTTGATGTACTCGAACCCGTGAGCTTTCAGAAACCTTTAAACACTCACATGAAACACCCAGTACATTCAATCAACGCTGAAGGTGAACAATGTACAATTCTAAACATTACTGGAAAGTTCAAGGAATCACGATTAATGACCTACGATAAAGGAAAAAAAAAAACCGAAAAACTTCACAACATGCTTCAAGAGCAGTGAACACTTTATTTGGAGTTACTAAATAACAATATTAGGATTAACGGCGTGAAGAAATGAATAAGTCAGTTGTCAAAAGTGAATAAGTCAGTTGTGAATAATATTAGGATTAAAGGCGTTAAGAAATGAATAAGTCAGTTGTCAAAAATATAATCAGGATAGTCTAAAAACGTAATCCGCAATAAACTACATAATAAATGCTACATTCGCAATTTTTTATCGGCCCTTACACGTTATAGAGTGTCGTCACCAGTCCCCTGACTACACAGTGAGATTTTTTGGGTATCAAGCATTAGCATGTAGTAATGAAAAATTTGAGCATACAGTAATGAGCAAACCCAAAGTGGGTTTTCAGCCAAAATATTTTGCCTACGTTTCTGCTATACTACTTTATTCATAATTAAGTTGAGAGACAAGCCCAAAACTGTCTTAAGGTTTCCTTTACTGCTTGTCGAACTTCTTTGATCTTCCAGCAATAGAGAATAGGATTCAGTGAGGAATTGAGGTAAACGAAATTGACTGCCACATCCTCGGCCAAAAAAAGAGACGAATCTAATCCTCTTCTTGCTGCTACAGTCATTACTACTGCGAAAGGAAGATAACATGTTGCCAGTGTGAGGTGAACCCACAATGCATTGATAACTGTCTTTTTATATCGCGCCATATTTGGCGAAATACTTCCACTCTGACCTCCAAGAGTATCTTGTACTTGTGTTTGTTGACGTCGGATAGTGCGAAAGATTCTTGCGTAAGAATAAGTAGAAATTATAACCTGTAACATTACTAATACAGCACTTGTGATGAAGTAGGCAGTCATATCCCAAACATAGAGAATACCGACAGCGCTGCTTTTTAACCAGAAGAGGATGATGATCGTACGAACGCGCTTTACAGTGACAACTTGTCTATATCGTAAACCCAATAACAGAGCGAGTAGTCTGTCCACACTTATAGCGGTCAGTGTCGCTAAAGATACGCCAGAAGAAATCGTGGTTGTAACATACGCCAAGTATTTAGCCACTCGACAAAGTTTCCAGTTTTCGTTTATAGCGGATAATAATAAGGTGATAGCTGTCGGCTGCCCGATCACACCAACACAAAGATCGGTGACCGTCAGACAACGAAGCAATAGTTTTGATGGCGGGTGGAGAGACTTGTCCTTGTGAAGGGCGAACAAGATCAAACTGTTCCCAAGAGTAGCTGTTATGGTTAGAATAACACAGAAAAACACAACAGATGAGTAAATGTGAAGCAGATAACTTTCGCCGTCCCAATGTCGACTGCAAAACAGCATTGGGGTGGTTTCTCTGCTGAAGTTTGGCATGATTTGCATTTTTCCGATGATAGCTCTTACTGTGAATGTGGGCAACAGTTCTTGTTGTGAATAAACCTTTACATTTTGAGGCCAATACAGGCGGCCTGTATCGGCCCTAATTAGAGAAAAGTATTCCGGTCCGCTTTGAACTTAGGTGTAGTGCGTCAAAAGTTTACAGCCGGTTTAACAAAACGAGGTCATGATATTTTCGTTAGGTTCTTAATTGTTTTGCCTTTGTGCGGTTGTCTTATTTAATCAAGTCAAAAACCTATCAAGGTTGGAGATTGTGTTCTTTTAGAGACGTGCAGTTACTGGAATGAACGTTGAAACCTCGACTGATGTAACTTTCATAGACACTGTGTGCCAATACGCGAGGCGCGTGCGTTAAGTTTCACAGTTATACAGTGCACACGAGCACTAGCCACTTAGACATCGTTAAAGCGCGGCGTGTGTTGGCTTCAAAATGTTAAGCGTCATTGCCTAAGTCGCTCAATTTATTTTGTTCTGGTACAAAAGAAATTAAAAAAACTCTCTGATTTGTTTTAATTGTTTCGGTGTCTGCGTTCGGCTGAGGTGTAGTGTATTTTAAGTCAAGTCGTCAAACTCGTAATTGTTTTACCTCTAACAAAATAATAAAGATAAAATAACTGATATTTGCCTTCAGCAGTGTTTATAGCACAAAGCCTAGAGAGGCCGAGCAAACAACTGAAACAGACAATTCAAATTGAACGTAATGTACATTGTTAAGAAAATCAACTGGCCGGAGGCAAACCAGTTGGCCGAGCATTTGAACTCGGAGCTAGCGCACAAATCCAAGTAGAAATCAAACCCGGAACCGCTGAATTGCGAGTCCGACGCGCTGACCTCTCGGCTACGTTGCGTCTGTGTGTATTTCCTATTTAATCAGTCATGGTTGGAGATTGTATTCTTTTAGACGTGTCTTTACTCGAATTGGAGGGAAACGTTGTTACCTCCACTGATGTACCTTTCATACACGCTGCGTGCCATTACTTCTTGTATTGGCCTCAAAATGTGAAGGATTTATTCACAGCAACGACTGTGAAGTTTTATACATACGCAGGGTCCTGTATTGGCTTCAAAATGTGGAGTTAATTTACAGCGAGAACTATGACATTTTATGCACAAGCGGCCTCTTGTATTGACTTACAAATGTGAAGCTTTATTCCCCGAATCTCTCAATTTATAGACTGCTGGCAGTCTGTTTCTCTCCAAATTCAGCTATTGTTATGAGGCGAGACGCTTTAGCCTAAAGGGGCAAACACTCGTCTAAGTGACCCTTAGAGAAAAAATCGGCTGCCAGCAATCTACTTAATTTATTTTGTTTTGCCACAGAAGATATTACTCAAAGGCTCCTGTGAGCCAGCTCATAGATAAATCGGATAATGGAGTAAAGGTAGTTAAATACAAAAGTGTTTAGAGGAATTGGTGGACTTGGAGTATTATAAGTTATTTGCAACGTTGAGGAATGTCAATAAAAAGACAAAAAGTGGGGTGGCCATTAACGTTATTTGTCCATTTTGAAAGGGGTTGTTATCCGTAACCTGAGGAGCATGTTAAAATTAAGGCATGAGATGCGAGACGGTGACTTGTGTTGTAGCCTATTTTCCTCTAAGTCTTTTGATATCATCCTTGTTAGGTGATAAACACCTATAGCATCAGTGGGGTGTTGATAAATAACTTCTGATTCCTGTCGCTTGGTTGTACTGTAGTCTTTATCCTGGTTAAATGCATGTCCACCATAGTACAATTTGCTTCACCTGCAGTACGCAATAAAGTCAATAGGAACCACATTATGTTTATCTTGGTATAATTTGTTTTGTCTCAGATGTTACATATAATGAAATATTCGCACGGCTTTCATAGAAATAAAAATAGGCTTATGACCACTCTAGTAAGACTGCAGGTACCTGCTGAATGTACGGTCAAGGTACGTTGGTCTAAACACGATCAGTATCTGTGTTCGGTAGTCAGTAATATACTGGTTTTTCAACTTTTCAGTGTATCCTTTGCCTGTTAAAAGATGTTTTTAAGAGCCTTTCCTTTCGCTCTGTATTTACCTTCATTAGATCAATATTGAAATCCCCCCCAAGCAGTAGAGTGGAAATTAAACGTTCTATTAATACTGAGTTATGGTCATCTTTAGTTTTGACTGAATATTAAGACATGATAAAAAAAAAAACTGTCTTTTTTTCTCATTCAACGAACTACAAGTCTTCGATAATCATCATCGATATGCACTTTACAACAAGTTCTTCTTGATCATTACTTCTTGGGAAAAAGCCAATATCATCAGACAAACCATAATGGTAATGCTGCTTGTTTTTGTTAGGATCAAAGCAACCAAATAATTAACTTGGGCCTGTCTTCAACAGCACAGTCCTACTTATTGACATGTTCTGCTTTTGGAGCAACATTGTCAAAGTTGTCAGTGACATTTAGCTCTAATCATGTCCTCCGTTGCCTTATCTGGTACTTCTAAATGGTATTCTGATAACTTCATCCTTAACCTGCTCAAATCCCTGTTGGTAAGTTTGACAGTCCTCGATGAAATCTTTGTTTTCCTTTCGCCATGGTGTATAAAGCATAAGGTGCTCTCTGTAACAGTTTTCGGATTTTAAGGCCTTCTTTAAAGCTCTCGATATTGTTAACTTTTCTGTAGTCCTTCTATCAAGTGCTAAAAAGTACTTCTAGTTTAATTTTTTTTTTTACACCATAGTTTTACATCTGCTGAATGTCGATTAATTTCTCGAAAGACTATTAAAGAGTTCAGCCAGGGATGAAATTAAATGTTATATATATATTGGTTATTGACCAAGCATGAGGTCAAAAAAGAACAAGGCCAATATCTAGCCATCTTGACCGAACAAGCTTGGTCAATAGGGGTTTTCTTTTCTCCCGGGACACAGCGGGTAGTTCCGAGCGGGTAAGATAGCGCCATCTTGCCCGCTCGGGTAGCCAATCACATTGCAGGATTCGGTTCATCTTGCCCGCTCACGGAGCTAGCCATGTGATAAGTGAATTTACTTTGCCCTGCAGCGCATGCTCCAGTCTGCCATAACTAACAAGTTTGTACTTCACTACCCGTTCGATTCTTGAGGAGTACGAAATTCTGAAGATATACTTCACGAGCTGTAGCAGAGTACAGTCATGAGTTAACGAGAGAGAGCATTTGGTATGAGCTTTCGTGACGTTTGTGCAGCCACTGTATAGGTCTTAACATTATCACCCATTTCAACTTAATCTTTTTTACCGCTTCTGCTCAACAGGTTAACATATTTTCGGCCTCAGCTTTTTTTTTTGTACTGAACTTTAGAGAGAAGAAATATCATTTGTTGACTGAATAAACAAGAAACAGTCCAACAAAGAAATGAGGATTTTTAAATATTCGAAGCAGGAACAAGATAGAGTCAGTAATGGCAGGTATGGGCTGAAGTTAATCCAACCAATAGAACAGGAATTTAATCAATAGTAAGTAACGTTTTGAAACATATTAGCAAAAGTATGGCTTGGTGACATAACAACACAAGTTCACGAGGCTTGCTCAACACAACAACTTTATTCTCTAAGCTTCTTGGGTAATACAACAGCTTAACACAACTTCCGGTTACGAATATATTACAGTTTTCTACTGGAGACATTGACAATTAAGTAAAGAAACAGCCCAGCAAATATGAACCCCGGCTTTGTAATACAGAAGAGCTGAACACAGCAGCAAATATCTCGAACTTGTTTCTAACTTTATTGACAATACGAGACATTTTGGTAGGACTTGGTGTAAATCCCGTTGTGAACATCTATCAGATGTTTGCGATATAAGGCAGATAGGTATGTGAAAACGTATGGCAAATTTGTCGACTATCTTTGGGTCCATACAACAGTGCCTACTGCATTCGAACCAAAATTGCATTCATTTAGTAGAAAGAAAGGCAAACAAACAGGGAACTGATGAAACATATGATTATATCTCTCAGTTAATACCAGCGCTGTGATTGGTCATTTTAGCGAGCCATATTCTACTGTACGGCCCGCTAAAATTTAAAGCATTTTTGTTGGGAAAATGTTTCGTGATTTATCGCTAGTTCAGTTATTAATTTTTATAGCAAGTACAAGTTTAAAACTTTCTTTTACTTCTAAAATTGTGTATTAAAACCTGCTAACGACTTAAGGGTCACTTAACAACGATTTGAAATTGACTCGTTTTGCTTTTAACGTTCGTCAGAAATTTGAAGCCGCTCCGTGTGAATAGAAATCGTTCCCGAACCCGGCAGGCACACAGTGGGAGATATTATAAATATTTTACTGATCTCGTCTTCTCGGTCCGTACTGTAAGTTACGGATCCTCGTTTTTCCCTTTCGATTTATGGCCCGTGCGCTTCGCGCTTGGGCCATAAATCGATGAGGAGAAATGAGGATCCGTAACTTACAGTGCGGCCCTTGAACTCGGTTATTGAGGGGTATATACACGCAATTCTATCTTTATAGAGTTAAAAAGGTCGACGTATAATTAGCATGGTCGTATTATTTCTAGAGCTAGTGAGTTATAGCCAGCTCTTTTAATCACTTAGTAGACAGTTTCACTGAATTTGAAGAAGTTTTTTCCTGCGCTTCAATTCATCATAACAAAGAAAGACTATAAAGTAACTATCGACCGTCCGTGAAACCTGGGAACGAACTTAAAGAGGCCAGGTGTTTCTGTTTTATTAGTGCTCAGGCCTCTTACTCCTCACAGAGCATGCGCCCTTTGCGCAACCCAGTCACAAGGTACAAAATCAGCCATACTGGGCCTAAACAATCCACGGCTTGACTTTCCTTTGCTTTGGATGTCCCACTGTGTAATTAACTTGCGGTCCAGTATGGCTGATTTTCCACCATTTGACGGGGTCGTGCAATTAAAATGGCCCTTTTTGTACATGAACGCAAAAATGAAACGGAAATAAGTAAATAAGTTCACCAGCCAACTGCCATACAACATTAAAGCTGAAATTATTGCCTTGTTTGACAAGCAACAGTTCTTTAAGATTAATACTGCATAAATTAAACACACAGCTGACAGCTTTACCATGTCTATTTCGGTCGAGTTATAGAATGGTTATTTGGAAATAATATAATGAAAATTGAAAGAGAGTTTGATTTGAATTGGCCGTCTCCGGAATACTTTTGAGTCAAGGGAAAATGAAGTCGAATGTTAAAGATTAATTTTGAGAATTTCAATTACTAGCATTAAGAGAATTGAAAAGACCGAGTCCAATTTTAAAGTCAGGACAATTATTACTTGTTACTAATTTTGTAACTGGACCAGTTACAAGACGCTGTTTAATTTGGGCATTGATGCAAAGCAGTAATCAATATTGTGGAATAGCGCCAAACTTTCTTCAATTTGCCACGATTCAAACCGTGATTAACATAATGTAAACACCCTTGAAACTAAAGGTGTGGGCAATTGCTTGAGCGTTTTGACAAAAGAAAAACATATTTACCGGCGGCTCGCTCGAAGAGACTGTTTTGACAATTTCTACGTATACAAAAAGACAGCCTTTCAAAAACGAGAACAGCCTTGACAGCCCAGCAACGAACTGGAAACAGCACCATGAACAACATTAGTACTTGCTGCAAGAGTAAAGAGTTAAGTGTGGAGGGCAAGATAGTTTTAACAACGTTGTATGGTCTCACAGGTCTGGCGGCCATAATTGGAAATGCTCTTGTCTTGTGGTTGATCGCTAGAAAGAGGACATTAAGAACAATTTCCAACCTGTTCTTAAGTTCCTTGGCAGCAGCTGACTTTTTAGTAGGACTTGTTATCAACTTGGTGTGGATACTTATCCGATGCTTGGGATATAATGCGGATAATTACTTGCAAACTTACAGCAAAGTTATTGACTATCTTTGGATCCATACAACAGTGGCTACTACATTCAACTTATGCTGTGTTACCTTGGACAGGCACATCGCCATTTTTTATCCTCTCCGCTACGAAGACATCATCACTTACTCAAGATGTTACGTGCTGATAGCGACAGTTTGGTTT